ATTCGTCCTTAATTTGATTGAGAGCATACCTCGTGGTTTGTTAATTATGTCAGGCAACTTAAGTCCTTCTAGGATTTTCATATATATGTCAGTATCTAATTCTCCATATAGATACGCGGTGATGACATCCATAAGTCGCATGTCAAGTTTTTCTAAAACCACTAAACTTATTAAGTAACGGAACGTAATTGCATTTATTACAGGAGAGTATGTCTCCTCATAATCAATTCTAGGTCTTTGCGAAAAACCTTGTGCAACGAGTCGTGCTTTATATCTTGCAATCTTATTTTTCTCATTACGTTTCCTTGTGAATACCCATTTGTAACCCACGGGGTTTACAACAGGTGGGGTTTGGACTATTGGTCCAAAAACATTTCACCTTTCCAAGGAATTTAATTTTGCCTACATTGTATCTTTCCACTTAGGCCAATCTTATCTCTGTTTGCATTCATCAGCAAAGTGAGGCTCAAGATCATCACTTAATATGATTTCATTGGCTACTGCGAATGTGAACATGTCGTTGATGATTATTTCATTCTGATCCCACAATTCATTAGTACAAGCATAATTTATGGAGATTTCTTTTCTTTCATGTACCTCTGTTTCTTCGGGTACATGTGTCTCATCAAAGATATTTTCTTTTTCTGAAAGTACAGAATAATGAATTGTGGATTTGTCATTCATTTTCTTTTCTTGAATGATTTCATTTGGATTCAGTTGTGCCTTCATCTTTCTCTTTCGAGGGGATGAATCTTTTGAATCTGGAGGTCTACCACGCTTCAGGCGTGCACCAGATGAATCATCTGCTACCAGTTTATTTTGTCCAACAAGGACATCAATTCTTGCAGGTGCATTTGCAGCTAGTATATGTGATTTTGTCACTTTCATAGCATCATTAAATGCATCTGGCATTTGATTGGGATCAACCCATTTCAGCTTTTGCCGTTCTTTTGGAACGGTCTTTTCTCCCCCTAACGATGGGAAGACTGTCTCATCAAAGTGACAATCAGCAAAACGAGCTGTAAACATATCACCTGTTAAGGGTTCCAAATATCTAATGATAGATGGTGAATCAAAACCCACATAAATTCCCAGTTGGCGTTGATGTCTCATTTTAGTGCGTTGTGGTGGTGCAATAGGTACATAAACAGCACAACCAAAAACTCATAAATGTGAAATGTTTGGCTGATGTCCAAATACGAGTTATACTGAGGAGTATTGGTGGTTGACTATAGGTCTTAATCAAACCAATGATGTAGCATGTAAGATGGCATTTCCCCATGCAGAGATTGGCAATTTTGTTTTCATGGGTAGAGTGCGAGCTATTAACTGAAGCCGCTTGATCAATACTTTTGCTAAACCATTTTGAGTATAGACATGAGGAACATGGTGTTCAACATCAATGCCCAATGTCATGCAGTAATCATCAAAGGTTTGAGACGTAAATTCACCAACGTTATCAAGTCGGATTGACTTAATGGGGTTATCTGGGAACTGTGCTCGTAACTTAATTATCTGAGTAAGAGGTCTCACAAAAGCTACATTCCGAGTAGACAAGAGACAAACATGTGACCATCGGGTAGATGCATCAATCAAAACCATAAAATATTGGAATGGTCCACAAGATGGTTGAATAAGCCCACAAATATCCCATTGAATTCTTGCACAAATGATGGGGATTCAACATCAACCTTTAATTGTGATGGTTTAATTACCAACTTCCTTTGAGAACGAGCCTTGCAAGGGTTATCATTTGAGATAGCAATGTGTCTGCTCAATAATGGATGTCCATTAGAGTTAGTAATGATTCTACGCATCATGGTAGATCCTGGGTGACCCAGACGGTCATGCCAAAGCATGTATACTTTTGAATCAATGAACTTATGGTTCATGACAGTATGTGATTCAACTGTCTTTATGTATGTATAATACAATCCACTCATCAAACCATGCAACTTCTCTAATATACGTTTTTGGGTATCATTAGAGGTAATGCATAGATACTCCACATTTTCTGCACTTTTCGTTTCAATGTGGTATCCTTTAAACGTATGTCTTTAAAACTCAACAAATTTCAAGTAGATTGAGTAGCATACAACGTATTCTGTATGGACAATATTGTTCCATTTGGTAACATAATCAGGGCCTTCCCTAAGCCTTCAATAACATCTGAAGGGCCTGATATTATTGTTACCCTTACTTTTGTAAGCATCAACCTTGAGAAATACTTTTGATCTCAAAGTATTATATACGTGGTTGCGCAGTCTGCAAGACAAAATATCTCCGCTATTTCTCATGTTTTGAGAATGGCCATAATTTTTATCTATGCTCTCTGAGTAAGGGAATCATAGTTAAAAGCAAATTATAAAATGGAAATTTAAACACCACTTGTATTGAATTTGAAATGTTAGTTTTGAACTATAAGTTTAGTACATCAAACATAAACAATTTAGTCGAACTGGCATACTTCATTCCCCCTTTCCACAATAAAATCTGAGATATCTAGATAGGTTGTGTTCAACTGCCCTGATAAGTCACACACTAGATCAAGTATATCCATTGGTTTAGCATGGTCGAGAAAATTGGTCTCGGAGGCTTGATATAGATCTACCAGATGTTTTGGGGTACGACAAGTACGCGCCCAGTGCCCATTGCCACCACACCTATGGTAGGCTCTTTCAGAGTTTCTAGGAGCAATGTTCATATGAGCTTTGCCATTGTGGCGATTCACATTTTTAAAGCTCGGGACTGAATTATGCCTTGGAACCTAGTTATGAAACTGGACACCATGATTCTTGCTTTTCCCATTCCACCATCCTCGCCTGTGGCCACGTCCTCGTCTATGATTATTGCCACTAGAGAATGTGGCGTTCACTTCGAGGGAAGCAACATTCACTTCTTGAAATGGTGCAGATGTAGTAGGTCGAGATAGATGATTCTTCATCAGAAGCTCATTGTTTTGTTCAGCAACCAGGAGCACAGAGATCAGCTGGTTGTATTCAGTGAAACTTCACTCTCTATACTGCTACTGCAAGAGCACGTGTGAGGTATGAAAGGTGCTAAAAGTCTTTTCCAGCATATCTTCCTCAGTGATGGTTTCCCCACAGAGTTTCATTTGGGAGCTAATTATGAACATCACAGAATTGTACTCAGCCACTGACTTGAAATCCTGGATCCTTAGGTGAGTCCACTTATAACGAGCTCTTGGAAAAATCATCATTTTCTATTGATTTTGTCTGTTTCCCAATGCCTTCCAGAGTGCTAATGGATCTTCAACCGTTAGGTACTCGCTTTTTAGTCCTTCATCAAGATGGCGATGGATAAAGATCATGGCCTTCACTCGATCTTGAAAAGATGCACTATTCCCCTACTTGATTGTTTCTCCAAGATTTCCTGCCTCCAAATGGATCTTGGAATCCACTACCCAGGTAAGGTAGTTCTTCCCAGTAATGTCCAGGGCAACAAAATCAAGTTTTGGCAAGTTCGCCATTTTCTTTTCTGAAAGAAAACTAAGATATGTAAGAACTTGGAATAATATGTATTCTGGAGGTATGTAGTGTTAGAACTTCAAGCTCGAGATTTACATGATGAATGAGGAGGGCGATTGTACCACACCATTCTTAATGAAATAACATAACATAGGATGAGCGATTATTCCGCACTACTTAAGTAGCAGGAAAATGTAAATATGCAGAGTAGGGTGGACGATTATACCGCTCCACCTAAAATTGCAATAAAATTAGATCTGCAGTCCAAGATAGACGATGATACCGCATCATCTTGGATTGCAGTGAGATTAAATTTGCAGTTCAAGATAGGAGATTGTTCCGCACCATCTTGGATTGCAGTAAAATTAACATAAATAAACACTGGGTTAGTAATCAAAATCTACACCGAACAAGAAATCAAAGATATATGTAACTGTTAGGTTGATAACTAAAAGCATGTATGAAGCAAACATTTCTTTGCGAGGATATGTCCACCAGTTGAGACAGAGGAAGAAGATGAACATTAAAATCCTTAGAGGAAACTTTTTTTTTTCTTCTTTCGTTCGGCGAAGAGAAATGACAAATTGGTTAGATTTTAGAAAGTCGTGCTGATAACGTGTTATAAATAGGTAAAAGTTAGAGAGATAACCTTTACTAATGATAGAAGCAAAACAGGTATAAAATATCACATTGTAACTATAACACAAAGGGATGACAAATCAAAGAGGGAGGAATAGATACTGATGTTATTGATCTTTCCTTTTTCCTTTATGTATTTTGATAGCAGTCGGAGTGCTCTATTTATAGAGCAACTCCAAACGTATTAATTACACCCTTTGAAAAAAATATGATCTCCTTCATTTCCAAAGTCTACATTACTATATGTGGGTATTGAAAAATCTGTGTGGGCATTCATAAATCTGCCAACATTTTCAACATTGCTAATGTTTTCAATACTGCCAATGTTTTCAATAGACTTTTCTTTTAAGTTCACCATCTTTGAAACTAACAAACTTAGGGTTGGTTTAGGGTTTTGGTGCTTCAAAAAAGAAAAATGCTCATTAAAAAAATTTGAACATTAAATGTGCTTGGTAAAACAAAAAAAAATGTTGTCAATGAAAGTAGAAAAACATAGAAAAGTAGAAGCAGAATCTACCTTGTTTCTAAAGAAAGTGTTTTTTTTCAAAGCATAGTAATCAATGATAATTTAATGAACTTTTCAAATGACAAGTACACCCCCACATGTTTTACAAAATTACAATATTTACCTCTACATTATTGTCTTTGACAATTATTATATCACAATAAATATTATATCATTTTTAGTCATTTAACATATTCAAAACAATTTATATAAAATTTTACCAAACACTCCTGCACTATTTTTTTTTTATTATTATTAAAAACATTTTTACAAGAAAAGGTTTACCAAATAGTTAACAGCTTTATTTTATAACTGTTTATTCTCACAACACAGTAAAAACAGTTTTTTTTTTTTAAAAAGCACAACAATACTAAACTAGCCTTTATAATCCTTTAAACTTTCGTCTCATATTATCAAATTCACCAAAATATTAAAGATATAAAATAATTTACTTAAATCCACTTAGGCTCTAGGCCCCAGCCCACTGCCTGACTAGCGTATAACGTCTTTTAGAACCTTGGTACTGATCCTCTGTGTCAAACTTTAAAGCTTAAAATGTGACAAGGCAGATGTGCCATCAAGGCCTTTGTTGTTGAAGTAAGCAACGTAGTCCCTCACAGTGGTCTCCTTGTACTTTGGAGGATTGTCTTTTGATACTAACTCCTTGATGGGTCCATAGAGCTTTGTTGACGGTAACATCCCTGTGCAAAAGAAGCTCGCAACAGATATCCTTGGACCTACACAGTTTGCTAGTACCCTGTGTTGTATGCTCTTGAATCTATCATTTGATATAAGCTGAAACCCCAAAACAATTCAACATTAAAACCCAAAATTGAATCTAAATCAAAAAATTTGACACAAGAAAAATTATAGAATTTAGAGAGGGCATAAATATAGACATAAAAATCATGGTAATACATGGTATATGATATTTCAATTAAGCCACACAATGAATCGCACTTGACCTTCACTTACAAATATACAGGTATATCACAAGATAGTAATGATAGTGCCAATTATTTTGTAGATCATTTAGTAAATCATGCATTGAACAAGTTGATGGTATGGGTAGCAATTAATATCTTCATTATGCACTGGCTATAAATTGATGATTAGAGAATAATCAATTTTAATTAGAACATATATAGAACGATGACGCATCAATCCAATAACAATATATATGATAGTCTTTTACTTGCCTGTAAAAGGTCTCCAATGTTAACCACAAGAGCACCAGACACAGGCGGAACATCAACCCACTTTCTGTGATGAAGAACTTGAAGACCTCCAATATGATCTTGCAAAAGCACTGTGACGAAGTCATTGTCGGCATGCTTGCTTGTGCCCATAGTCAACCCTGGCTGTGGACAAGAAGGATAGTAATGACCTAGAATCAGAAGCCCCTCACTACAGTCCATGTCATTCAAGTGACTTGGCTTTAGGCCAAGAGCCTCCGATAACAACTCGAACAACAACTTCCCCAACTTCATTACATGCTTTGAATATTCAACTAGTATGTCTCTGCGAGTTGAAATTAATACAGAAATGAAACAATATGGTGAGTTGAGCTGCCTATGTAAGTATCTTTTTACTTTTCAGATTTCAAACTTTATTGTATCTAGTAAGACCAACTACAACCCTTTGCCTTCTGAAACTGGGTTTTTAATGCTGGCCAAAAAATGGGTCCAAGGAAGAAAAAGATATAAATAGGCCAGGAGATGGGACCGACCAAAACAATGGAATCCAAGATTCACTTAAAATTTTAACAAGAATTGGTGTTGAAAACATTTTCATTCAAGGTTCGAAAAGACGCTAGGCGTTAGTCGGACGGTGGGCTGAGACTTAGCACCTAGGTGGTTAGGCGGGTGCCTAAGTGGACTAGTCGGATTTAAGTAAATCCATTATATTTTGTGTAAATAAGTGTCTGTTTATACTTAAAATATACATAATTTCATCATAAACTACAAAATAGAATGACATATGTATTATGAAGTATTGGAAAATAATGAAAACATGGGGAACAAACATATAATTTATGCTCATTTAAATATTCAACAAGTCTCTTACAATTTATTGAAAAAAAATAAAATATAAAATGAAAGTAGTCTATTTTCTGTCTAAGTGAGTCACAATTTAGGCAGGTGCCTAGGCGGGTCTGGGAGGGGTAGGAGGCCTAGGCGGGCGCTTTAGTAGGTCTAGGCACCCTTTCTTAATTTTCAAACGTCTAGACATTAATTGGGACGGTGGCCAGCCGCCTAGCGCCTAGGCGGTGTTAGGTTGGGATTTTTAGAACAATGTTTTCATCACAAGCTCTTTCAGTCATATTAAAAACACTTTCAATAACCCCACACTTTCTGGCCAAATGCCTAAAGGTTAGGCCAAAGATTGGAGTTGGTCAACCTATTTAGCTTGGGCAAATAATGCTTTAAATGAACGATCAAACCGACCTTCAAAGTTGTTCTCCATATTTCTATCTCAACTTAGACAATCCATTCCATATTTTAAACAGTAAATGAATTCTATATGAAATTGTTGTCTATGTTATACTGGCCAAAGTATGTAACTCCATTACCACCAAAAGTCAATACATGATCAAATCATCTAATCAATGAATCATGATAAAGATATAATATAGGGGCATTTTGATCCAAGTCCAAAAAATTCACTTAATTTCATATCAATTCTAGTTTCATTTGATTTATTAGTATGCCCATTTTGCCCCTTACAGTAAAATAAAAATTATATTTTAATTTGTTAAATTGAATTTTAGAAGGTAAAGATTTATGAAAACAAAAACATGACATGTGAGGTTGATTAGAAACAAAAACCTATGTTATAGGTAGAAAAACAAAAGTATTGCCTATGTGAAATTCTGTCCCTGGATTTCACTATAGAATTCTGCATATTTTGTATTTACGCGAATTTATTTTATTTTTGTAAATTTTAGAATTAGTTACCTATTTACTAAGCTTGATTTTTCGCAACTATTCATTTAAAATATGTAGATCTCTCTAGGTCAATCTTTGTATTTTAGATGGAGCTCAATTCCACGAACACGTAAACAAAATCATTCAAGAAACAGAGTTTTAACGAAAGATTTATAAGCCACTAAACTCGGGGGCAAAAAGGGAATCTAGACCTTTTTTTAGAAGCTCCCAGAAAGTGGGAGAAACCAACCCACCCCTACCCCCACCCCCAAAAAGTTTTGAAAGGCTGGGTCGACTTGTTTCTCTGCGAATTGACCCGATTCCAGGCTGAGCTTCCCGACGCCATTTCACGGCATTTTTTGACGTGACGACCTCAACGATCACCACTTCTCGAATCCCTTCGTCATCACGAACCCAACCCACCCAGGTTTGAACCATTTTGGCCACGATTTCATACCAATCAAACCTAATGCTTCCTGGACCTCGACGTCGGCATTTGTAGCTTCCAATCACCTCAACGTCAACCACTACCCTCACCAAGCCTCCCTCAACCTGCGATAAGGGTGAATCGATGTTCGAGGGTTTTGGGTGTCCTGGCTTTTCCTTGCCTATTTCAAGTATATCCTGATGAAATAGGCAGATACAAAAGTTATTCATCTCATTGCGATCTTCATTTTGGTATAATTTGAGCAATTTTGGCCACTTAGTACTATGGTTTAGTGATATTCCTCTTCACCTGTAAGTGAGAGGTCTTAGGTTTGATTCTCGTCAAATGCGAGTTTGAACCACATTATTGCTAGCCAATTGTGAAGCTAAGCCCACCCCTCTCCCTTAGTGTAGATAATATCATTTGTTCAAAAAAAAAAAAAATTATTGAGCAACTTTGGTGTTAAGTGAATTGAGGTTGTAGGCCGTTGCATGAGGCGGTGCGTGGCTCGAGACACCACTTGGTTTTTCTAGGCTAGATTTGATACCCTAATTCCATATTTGACATCTGTTTGGTGAAATTCGTTGTGTGAGCCTAATTTTGTAATGCTCCGCCACTTGACTATTAAAGTAATCGGCGATCCAACCATTGGATTGCCACCAATTTGTAGTATGTTATTGTACTTATTATTTAAGGACTCTAAAAATTTACAGATTGGAAATTTGATATGCATATCTTCCGGATTGAAGGAAATTGTAAATTTTGACATTTGTAGAAGACGACGATCCGACTGTTGGATCATCACCAAATTAATAAGTGTATTTGTAATTAATATTTGAGAATCTTAGAAACTTATGAATAGGGAATCAAACATACGGATTTTTCCAGATTAAATTTTTATGTTTTGAGGAAACGAACATTCACTGCCTCCTGAATTTGCGATTGGCGAATCCGACCGTCAGATTGTCAAGAAATTTTAATATATAGTTTTAGAAACATATTGAGACCCTTAGAAATTTATAGATAAAAAATCGAGTGGGCGGATATTTCAGATTGGATTACTAGGGTGGTTGACCGTTTTGTTGAACATGTCGACCCACAATTGACTTTCGGTCAACATGTTTTGAATATTTATTAAATATTAAAATGAGTATTACTAGCCACTTAGTACTACAGTCTAGTGATATTTCTCTTCACTTCTAAGTGTGAGGTTAAGGTTCGATTCTCACTAAGGACAAGTTTGAACTACATTATTGCTAGCCTATTGTGAGGCTAAGCCCACCCTCTCCCCCTTAGTGTAGATAATATTGTTTGCTCAAAAAAAATAAAAAATAGTATTACTATAGACTAAGTAGAGCCTAGTGTATCTATCTTGGTTAGCAAGCTATTCCAATTAATGTATACGTTGGTTTACATGTAAGTGATGCGTACAGTGATATATATGTTTATTGAGCTTCTAGATAATATAAATGCGATGTATGATTACTGGCATTAAAATATGATCTTGGAACCATATTAGAAGTATTCAGTAGAAGTAGTTTGTCTGTGTGATTAGATAGTGTGTTGTCATGGAAATTTATGGTATGTGTGTTTGTAGTATACAACATGTGGGTCAATATGTGATGATGTGACTACACCATGTGGCAATAGTACATGGATGGTCGTACTTGGTATATTTGAAATGCGGGACCATAAGCATTATATGGGTGATCATGCTTGATATATCTACAATGGGTGATCACTACTTACAGCCATAGGATAGGGGTGGTCATGCTTAGAGTTAGGGAAGAAAATGCATCTGCTATGATAGGGCGATGGAGGACGGTACATATGATAGGGGTGGTCATGCTTGGTATATTTGCGATGGGTGGTCATTACCTAGTGTTATATGATAGAGTCCTGCATAGTTAATGCGTGATAGGAGATCATACATATCCTAGAGGGGGCATACTTGATAAATTTGTCTATCTAGCATCATATAGAGTGGTCGTGCTTGGTAAATATGCGATGGAGGATTGCTTCTTGGTTGGATTCCATTAAGTGGTCCAAATCCCAGCTCTTGTTCATTTCCATTAAGTTAGTCCAAAACTTTGAGTGAATAGGAATTGCTCATAATAGACATAGTGTTTGTAAATTAAAGTTACCATGTTATTGCTTGGATTCCAGGTAGGGAATTATGGAGAGTTCCTTTATTAAATTTTGTGAAATGACATGTAATCTTGTTGATTGATTAATGTAGTTAAATGCTAATATTGTGCATATGTTATTCATCGAATCGATTAATTGTAGTGATGGTGGATTAGGTTGGAAAATATTGTGATATAGGTGAATGACAACCATGTTTCACATATGATTTCATTATGTAGATTAAACTCTAGCAAGGCATGCTCAATTGGTTTCCTTGAGTGATTCTGAAACTCTAAGTTCTTGTTAGTTAATGCCTTGAGAATTTAAGAGTTTAAAAGAAGAGTGAACTACAAATGGCTTGATCCCATCTTGAGTATGGAGGCAGTCTAACATAGAGGTTAGATGCAACCATAAAATAAATGAAAAGTTACTACACTATTGGACTTGATTTGTGTTATGTTCATGTCTAGAAGGCGGGACATGATAGATGATCAGGTATGTGGTGACTTCACATGTCGATCCTGGATGTATCTCGGAATTGAGGCGTGACAACCTAATTCCAAATATACCTACTATATGGGAAGACAAATACTTTGTACCTATAAAGCATATATATATATATAATCTAATTATTATATAACAAGAATATTGTCCTCTATCTTTTGTAACATACATCTACCTAATACATAGGTATATATGAACAAAATAATAGAAGAAAATGCATCTGCTATAACGTTTTTAGTTATATATTGAAAAGTATGTATAAAAAAACAAAAAACTGAGGAATAAATTAATAGTGAAAGTCTACAATTTTATATACACAAATAGAAAAATGAGAACGATATATATATGAGTGTGTGAGGTATTTATCAATTTGCTCCTTGAATTTGTGAGGATTAGCCAAATTCCCTCCTCAACTTTAATTTTGGCCAATTTCCCTCCTCAACTAATATAATTAGTCAATTTTCCCCTTGTTGTTAAATTTTTTGAATTTTTCATCTATTCTTTTGTTAAGTATGTCACGTGCTATCCAAACCTTGTATCTTCTTCTTTTTCTCCGAACTTTCTATCTTGTTCCTTTTCTCTGAGCCAAGCCCCTTCTAGTTCCATCAGTACTCTACCAATGCAATTTCTCCCTCCACATTCATCATCATCTTCTTTTTCAAAATCCTTCAGTTGTCCCCTCTGCTTCCCCCTTTGTTGCCAAACCCCCATTCACATTCCCTTTCACCCCATCAATTTTCACCCTTTTCTATGTTTCTAACCTTCCATCTCATTTTGCTCCTCTTCTCATTCTCACTCTCCTTATTCTCCTTGTCCCACCCCCACCACCCGAACTCTCTTCTCCAGCTCGTTCACTTCCTTTTCATCCAAGGCGGCTCCAATTCGACAGAGACGACAATTCCCATGCTCAAGCTAAGCTTTCGGTGGGTTTCCTGATTTTTTTGCAGCATTGATGTCGGGGTTTGTTGTAGTGGTGTCAGTGTGTGTGTGTGTGTGTGTGGGGGGGGGGGGGTTGGGAATGGGTTTCAGCAATTGGGAGAGTGTGATTTAGGGGGTTTTGTAATAGTTTTGTTTTATGGGTTGTATTAAGTGTATAAATGCAGGTGGGTCTTGGAGTTTCCCATTATTCAGGTCAGTTTTTTGCTACTTTTATACAAAGTTGAAACGGAAGGGTTTCATGGGAAGGTTTAGCAGTGTCGCCACCGGTTGGTTGTGATTTGAAATGTTTCATGGGAGGGCTTAGTGGTGGCACTTTGGAGAAGATCTCAGCCATGGAGCAGCGGATGTAGGCGGTGTCGAAAGTCATCGCCACCTTAAAGAACTAAGGGGCCGTTTGTTTTCCTTCTTTAGCTCTCACTAAACTAGATAGGATTAAAGATTAGTGCAATCCATGTTTGTTCGCTTGCAAGACTAACTTTAGTGGTATTAGGGAGGACTCGCCTCGACTAACAACATCTCTAGCCGATCTTAGCATGTTCCCCCCAAAACTATAGGACTAACTAAGACACCTCCCTTTGCTCTCGCGTCCTGTCTTCGCTCTCGCGTACTCTCTCCACTGCTCTCGTTTGTGCCATTTCCCTCTCTCATCGCCCTGAACCCAGATCACGTCCTCTCCCTCTCTCTCCTTGTCCTACTTGATGCCGACACGAATCTGTATGACCTAACCTCGAGGAGGTGAGATTTTTGACTAGTTGGTCTTGGTTCGCGACCTAGACTCAAGTCAGGACCAGAATCAGAGTGTCGTTGTTGGGTACACAAGGAACGCAACTACAATTTTGATTTTGATTGAAATTGAATTTTTGATTGTTTGTGTTTTGGGAGCTTTATTGATTCAAATGGAGGAGAAAGATGTGGTTGCAAGTAGTGGAATTTGGATGGAGAGCTTTATCAATTGAAATGAAGGAAAAGCTATGATTATTTATTTATTTATATTTTTGTCAAAAGGTAAGGAAAAGCTATGATTGGAATCTATGGAGTTTGGACGGAAAAAATGAGAGGGAATAGAGGTTTCAGGAATGTTCTAGAATAGGAAAAAGAAATAGAAAAAGAAAAAAAAAAGAATTAATTTTATTATTTTTATTATCCTGCTTTTTAGTCCAACACTGCACCAAACACTTCACTAAGCTAGTCCAACTTAGTCTAGTTTAAGCCAGTCCAGCTTAGTCCCTGAAGCTAGTCTAGTTCGAGACAGTTCGGTGCAACAAACGCACCTTAAGGTGCTTCTCTCTTTTTTTGTCATTTGTTTTTTTGGTGAAGAGGTGCTTCTCTAACAGAAAAGAATCTAGGTAGGAGTAGAAAACGTGGGTGGCGAAAAGGAAAGAGATAGAAGATGTAGAGAAAATGACATGTTTGCCCTTCAAAAGTGGTCATATGGATAGCACGTGACATACTCAATGGAAGGATAGATGAAAAATTCAAAAAACTGAACAGGAGAGGGGAAATTAACTAATTATGAGAGTTGAGGGGGGAAAATTGGCCAAAATTAAAGTTGAGGGGGAACGTGGCTAATTCTTACAAATTTAGAGAGTAAATCGACAAATACCTCTCTCTCTCTCTCTATACATATATATATATATATATATATATATATAAACAAACAAAATAAACATAATATGATGAATACACCTAGCAAAAAGTTTCTTATAAAACGTTATGAATACACGAGAATCATGGGAGTCTGCAATTCTTGAAAGAAAGAAGAAGATTTTGTGAAGGAGTAGGAGGAGAACAAAAAAAAGATGGAACAAAAAGTGAAAGAATAAGACATAAGAAAAAAAGGAAAGAAAAAGAGAAAGATGAAGACGATGCATAAGAAATAGAGATAATAATGCTCTAAAAAGAGAGTATCTCTCTCTCTCTCCCTATATATATATATATAAACAAACAAAATAAACATAATATGGTGAATACATCTAGCAAAAAGTTTCTTATAAAACGTTATGAATACATAAGAATCATGGGAGTCTGCAATTCTTGAAAGAAAGAAGAAGATTTTGTGAAGGAGTAGGAGGATAATAAAAAAAAAGATGGAACAAAAAGAGAAAGAATAAGACATAAGAAAAAAAATGAAAGAAAAAGAGGAAGATGAAGACGACACATAAGAAATAGAGATAATAATGCTCTAAAAAGAGAGTATTTATCAAATATAGCCAAAAATTAACCCTTAATTTCAAAAATGTCATTTTTTTATAAAATCTTTCAAATATATCCAAAATTCTACCTAAATAGACACAAATACCCCCAAATTTAACAATCAAATAAATTAAAGGCTTTTTAGCCAAAATGGTTCGTGACCTTGACATAACTCCTTAATTTGGTTCTTAACAATTAATGATAATCAATAGTAGTGTTCTTGAATTTGTCTATTGTGAATCATTTTAATTTTTCTTTGAATTTGTCCATCGTGATCATTTTAGTTTTTTCGTGAAAAATCTGTCAATTACTCTGTTAGTGTGATGATGTGGCACCACGTGGGTCTCACAAATACAATCATATAACGACATGTGGATTGACTTTAAAAACCATTTTTATATGCAAAACTAAAAATGATATTAGTAATAAAAAAGGCATTGAAGGCATGATTGAAATTCTGCTGCTCCTACTTGCGATAACCGTGGTGGGGCTCAATGTCAGTGATGAGGGGGTCGAAGGGGATAGGGTTATGGTGATGGAGTGTAGAAGCGAAGGTGAAGTTGGACCGGAGCTTGAGGCGACAATAGCTAAAAAGCCTTTAATTGATTTAATTGTTAAATTTGACGGTTTTTGTGTCTATTTAAAGTGAAATTTTGGATATATTTGAAAGTTTTTATAAAAAGTGACATTTTTGAAATTAAGGGTTAATTTTTGGCTATATTTGATAAATACTCCTAAAAAGATGTACACGGGAGTTACAAGGAAGAAGAGATAATATTGTTTAAATCCAATCTTATAATTAAGGGATTATATTAAAGGAAAACTAATGAAAAGAGTTTGAAAACTTTAAGTTTAAACGATAAGTACAAAATAAAAGGTAAAGTGAATAGCACCAAGATTGACTTTTTAGTGTAAAAAAAATAGTTTTTCGTTAAAATGAACAGTACCGGGAGCTTTTTGTTAAAGTTCCCTTATTTTAATGATATAAATAATCAATTAAAATTAATTTCATAATACAATTAATCCTAGAATTAAAGGATAATATAATTTAGGGGGAAAATTGACAGGAAAGTGAAGATAAGATGAGGTAGACAATGTGTCAAAAGACCTAACCTAATAATCAAATAAAGTTGGACCATGTCGAATAATTAGGGTTGCAACTTGAGTTGGACCATGTCAAATAATTAGGGGTGCAATCCGAACTCGTCTATGTTTAAACTGACTTTAAACCTGAACAAGTGGGTTTTTTTATAGTTATAACCCGTCCGGACCCAACCCAATTTCAACCCGTTTATTGATTAGGTTGAGTTAGGTTGATCATTTGTCCGTCTATCCCCAACCCAACTAATCAAACTCAATTTAATCATATTGTAACCCATATCAATTAATGCTCATACTACACCCAAATGAGCCAAGTCCAAAAACCAACTCCCTTTCTAATATTTTTTTTAATAAATTACCTTTTATAATTACTTAAGCTTTTAGGGAATAAGAGACTTTGATTAGTCAGCATATTTGTAGTCTCTAAATCCTAAAGCTTTATAGTATATTGATTTATGAAATTAAAGTTAGCTAGCTTTGATGCTACTTGGCTTAATTTTCTTAGGAATTGTTAGAAACTAAGTTGTTACAAGATTAAACATGAAAAAGTTGGGCAACCAGAACCCAACCCAAGTAAACCCTAACCCAATTAAACCCAAACTCAAATGAACTCGAATGAAACCCAACCCGAACCCGAGCTCAAATTGTAAAGTTGGGTTAGGATTGGATTGACCTTCCAACCCGCCCGAATCGCACAAAATCGAACTTATAGTAAATTTTATAAAACTTAGCACTGATTGCAGAGAATTATAAATTCCCTTGTCACATACCTGCATACTTGTGGCAAGTCTTCTGGCTTAGTAGGATTAGGAGCCACATAACACAAAAAAGTATCCCTCCAATTAGTGGCCGGTGCACTGTAAAGATCAAAGTTGCTATTGTAGACCAAAGGTTTAAAGGGATCACGAGTGTAAAGCTCCTTCTTCACTTGAGTGTCTTGTTCAAAAAACCCACGTACCCCATCCTTAATCTCCTCCAGAACATCAACAGGTATTCCATGATTGACAATTTGGAAAAAGCCCCACGTCTCTGACGCCTCTCCGACTTTCGCAACAATCTCGTTGCGTTTAGTTGGACTACCAAGTTCAAGGCCTTGAAGGTCTATGACTGGAATGCTAAACTGTCTGGCTTCTGAATCAGAGCTGGAATTTTTTATGTAGTGATCATCCAACTCCGGCGGTTGATGAAAAATTCTAGGAACCTCGGTTATGCCCGCATCAACGAGGCCTTTAACTCCTTCTTTGGTGTCATCGAAAGCTTTTACTTCACTTTTCCGGTCGTCATTTGTGTTGGTAGCTACCATCTTGGTTTGTGACTAGATTTCATTCACCTAACTTGTTTATTGATGTATGTAAGTGGTCCTAGGGGATCATTTTATAATGGTTGAAGTTGAAAGGATGGCAATAATTTCGCTAAGGCCAAAAGATAATTCCAAAAAAACTTTGACTTGATTGGCAATAAGCATAATTAAAAAAAAAAATTAAAAAAAATTCAAAGAGGGTTGTATTCAATTAGGGTTATGTCATATGTGAGGTTTTAAAGGAGTATAAAAATTTAAAAGATTTCGTAGAGTATTTTAAACATTCGTATACCTTACCTCTCGCCTTAAGAGTTTGAGAGAATTCACTCAAAAATGAGTTCTAGAAATCAATTAAACTCCATCAAAATTCATAAATTTATTAATCTATTAAAATATCTCAAAATCTCAATTAAATATAGCATTTATACAATCACATTCATATATTAGTTGTGGGTTAGCTGTTTATAGCTCAGCCAAACATTAATTGATTTTTATTTCATGGTACGTATGAGTGCCCGGAAAATCAATCGTTAGATGATACATATAAAGATGTAATTATTCTTTGCAATGATTGTAGTCAAACTCGAAAATAATATTACAAAGTGCAACTTGATTACGCCGCCGGTAGATATTTCAAAATTTTCAATCACTGCAAACATCAAGATCCTTATAAGTTCAATATGTTAGGATTTATTTGCAGATGAAACAAAAAAAAAAAAAAAAAAAAAAAAAGCTAGCCATGTTCCCACGGAAACAAATTCGTCAATTCTTTATCGTCATCTGTGATGCCAAACCAAATTTACAATCAAAACGGAAGTTGAAGTACGTGGGATTTTTGGGTTTATTTGTAGGCGGCAGTTTATGACTTACGACTAGAAATTTTAATAGCATCTCCAATTATGATCTCTATTTAATTAAATTTTGTTGAAAGGATTAGGAAGAACTAACTGATAAATTTCTACTCAAGCCATACTCTAATTTAGAAAAAAAGACTTATATGGACAGTTATATATATCATCATAGTGGCGTCTCATATGAAATAGAGATATACATGTGCAAATTTTTGTCCACATATACTTATTCTATTAACATGCGATGCCATGTAGTGATGTACAGGTATCGTGTCAATTATTATCCTAAGGCTAAATCGCCAAAATGGTCCTTGAGATTTGCATAACTCATCACTTTGGTTCCTGAGATTCCAAATCGATAAAAGTGGTCCATGAGATTGTCCACCATCCATCATTTTGGTCCTTCCATTAAAAGCTCCGTTAAGTGTCCCAGAGCTCTTGGCCGGAAGTTTGGGTAATTTTCAAAGCTTCGTAACTCAATCGTTTCTTAACCAAATTCGACCCATAATATATCAAAATGAAGATAGAAAAGTGTAGAATAAGATTATACCTATTTCGAAGCCCAATGGTTCCCAGAGATGGCCGGAAAATAGCCTCAAATTTGATTGGTCCGAGCGAAAACTGGAAAACTCGTTGGGAACTAGGTAAATTTTAAATGTTCATAACTTCTTCAATACTCAACGAAATCAAGTGATTCAAAAACAAAAGCATACTTCTTGACGAGACGAAGAGAATGGTACCTTTTTGACGGATAAATCGCCGTGGTTTGGCAAGAAAACAGCTCGAAAGTGGCTATCTTGGTCTCAAATTAGCCACTCTCAAGCCCTTTTTTGGCCAAACCAAGGCGATATAGCAGCCGAAAAAGGTTCCATTCTCTTTGCCTCATCGAGAAGTATGATTTTCATTTTTGAATCACTTGATTTTGTTGAGTATTGAAGAATTTATGAACGTTTTTCCAGTTTTCTCTTGGACCAGTCAACTTTGAGGCTATTTTCCGGCCATCTCCGGCAACCATTGGGCTTCGAAATAAGTATAATCTTATTCTACACTTTCCTATCTTCATTTTGATATATTATGGCTCAAATTTGATTAAGAAACGATTGAGTTACGAAGCTTTGAAAATTGCCCAAACTTCCGGCCAAAAGCTCTGGGACACTTAACGGAGTTTTTAACGAAAGGACCAAAATGATGGATGGTGGACAATCTCAGGGACCACTTTTATCGATTTGGAATCTCAGTGACCAAAGTGATGAGTTATGCAAATCTCATGGACCATTTTGGCGATTTACCCTTATCCTAATTTAGGGTATAGAAATAAAAAAATTTAATTAAAAATGATTTTCAAAAATAGTAACTAAGTATTTGCTCCTTTTTCACTGTATAGATATTTGCTATCCTATGGACATGATGGGCAGAATGATTAGCTTAGAGATGGAATTTTTCAAATCGTCCCTAAATTTTAATTAAGAAGTAATTTGGATGAATACAGCCCAGAGACCTCATTTGGCATTGTGGGGTTTCCTTGGTGCAAGCACTAAGTAAGCAAGCTACCTTTCCCTTAAAAGGAAATCTCCTAAAATTATGGAAATAACCTCTGTACCAGATATCAACAACTCAAATCAGGGCAATTACACATGACCACCGTTGACTATCTTCTCATTTAATAGAAGATTGTAACAGAATATTCTTTTGTTAAATGTCTTGTATTTTCTTAATGTGGCACAATTCAAAATTGTATATAACAAATGTAAATTCCTTTTGTGAAATATACAAGAATATACATTCCATATTCACTCTAATTTCCCTATCCTTAACTTTAAGGTAAAACGAAGGAGATGGTGGATGGGAACTCCTATTCTGACCAGTATTCTAAAAATCGGTTTAGGCGGCCGCATAGGCGTTGGGTGGTGGCCAGCCGCTGGGATTAACTCTTAATCGGGAGAAAAATCGAGGAAGGAATTAGGTGGGTGCTGAGGCGGCTTGGGCGGACCTTGGGCGTCCTAGGCGGCCGACTGGTTGGCCTAGACGATCTGGAATTTCAATTTTTTTTCTGTTTTCAAACTTGAGAAAGGATGAGTGCAGTGTGTTTTGGAATTTCTAAGTTTGCTAGTTATGTTCTTGCGAAGACGAAGATGAAAGGAGGAAGAAAATGAGAAAATGAATTTCTCTCTCATCCTTTCATTCTCACGTGACCACCCTCAAACTTTCCCATTTAATTTATTTTAATTTCATCCAATCACGTTTGGACAGCTAGCATCAAGTTGATCTTTCCAAAAAAGAAAAATGGGCTGTCAATATTCAACATCAAGTTACTATTGATTGTTTAAATTTTTATATTCAAGATGGAGAAAGGAAAGAATAAAAAAGAATAAAAGATGGTCTCCTTTGTTTGTTAGTCTCTTGGCTGATGTGAGTGATGGGGACTAGGGGTGGAGGAGAGGGGTCACACCACACACGTGGTTGTTGAAATGGGGAAGGATGCTTTTCTGACCGGTTTTGATGCTCCAAAGTTCAAAGTGGGACATCAACCCAGATAAGAAATCATTGTCGGCGTGCTTGGATGAGCCCAGAGTCAATTCTGGTAGTGGGCAAGAAGGATAGTAATTGCCTACCATGACAAGCCCCTCACTGCAATCTATGTCATTCAAGTGACTCGGTTTCAGCCCAAGTGCCTCCAACAACAACTCAAACAATAACTTCGACAACTTCATTACTTGCTTCGAATATTCAACTAGCATGTCTCTGCAAGTTGAAAAACAGAAAAGCATGTAGGCTATCACATATCTCATATGCTTTACTAGTATGGTTATTCTCGGAAGAAACCAAGCATTTTGAAAATTCCCTCTCTTGCCGTGAAAATGATTTCACGAAGAGATTTAACTAAAATGGTGGGTTGAGCAGATTGTATGTTGAGAATGAATAAATCTTTTCAGTTTTCAGATTCTGAACTTTGCTGATCCAATCCGTGGCCTTTAATCAAAATAGTGACAGATAATGTAAAGTCAATTGCCAAAGATCACCCACAGACTGCGTAACCTGTCCTATATATATATATGCGTGTGTGAATTGATTTTATAGAAAATTTCATTTTAATCCTTGGCAAACATGACTTTTAAATTAAAACCATAAGTAAGATCAAAATCTAATTTGAGTCTCTTGTTGTATTAATAACATCATTTATTAATTATATTTTGATTTTTTAATTATTTCTCTTTTTCTTTCTAATTTTTAATGTATTAATTTTATTTCATTATAATTTTCATTTTCATTTCATTTATCGTAATATATTTTGTTGTAAACATTTAGATAAACTAATTTTTGTTATACAATATATTTCGATGTGCATTGTCATATCCCGGCCCAGGGGGGACCACATCCCGGGCCCGCTCCACCATCGTAGCACGATATTGTCCGCTTTGGGCTTACCATTCCCTCACGGTTTTGTTTTTGGGAACTCATGAGCAACTTCCCAGTGGGTCACCCATCATGGGATTGCTCTAGCCCCCTTCTCGCTTAACTTCGGAGTTCCTACGGAACCCGAAGCCAGTGAGCTCCCAAAAGGCCTCGTGCTAAGAAGGGATGGGAATATACATATAATGATCACTTCCCTGGGCGATGTGGGATGTCACATGCATTGTCTTCTTCATTTAGGTACATTAAATTCATTATAATACATTTTGGTGCATACATTTAGATACACACATTTCGGTACATACATTTCGTACAAATATTTAGGTACATTAATTCAATATATACATTTCGGTACACACATTTAGGTACACATTTCGATGCATACATTTCAGTACACACATTTACGTACATTAATTTAATATATTACAATTCGGTGCATATATTTAGGTACATACATTTCGGTACTAACATTTAAACACGTTAGTTCAATATAATACATTTCGGTACTAACATTTAGGTACATTAATTGAGTCTTTCAAATTTGAAGAATGTTAAATAAAATTAATAAATTAGAAAACTCTTTTTTGGTCAAAAAATAAATTAAAATTTGTATGTTAATAAATTTAAATATTTAATGTGATACATTAAATAAAATGCACATTAATTATTTTGAATTAAGGACACATCAAGGGATTATAATTAATATGTAATCTAACACCAAGTTTATTTTAAATTTCAATCTTCTTGAAGGATTAAAGTTAAAAAACCCTTGATTCTATTGCTAGTTTGCCAAAGCAGGGGTGATCCGTGTCTAATGATGACTGAAAGCCACAATATGCAATTGTGATTCCCGTTTTTCTTAGTAGTGTTGATTTTCCAATAAATTCTTACGAGGGTAGGTAAATAAAACTTTTGTGAAACGATTCAAATCCTACTTCAAAGTTGTTATCCATATTAGTATTATTATACATCTCTAATAACAACGCATGCATATACAGTAAATGAGTTCTTATAGATCAGATACACATCTGAACACTTCTGGCAAGTCTTCAGCCTTAGTAAGATTAGGAGCCATATAGCACATAAATAAGTCCCTCCAATTCGTCGTGGGTGCACTGTATAGATCAAAGTCACTATTGTAGACCACAGGTTTAAAGGGATCATGAGTGTAAAACTCCTCCTTCACTTGAGTGTCTAGCTCAAAATACCCACGCACCCCATCCTTAATCTCCTCCAGAAAACCATTAGGTATTCCGTGATTAACAATTTGAAAGAAGCCCCAAGTCTCTGATGCCTCTTTAACTTTCGCAACAATATCCTTGCGTTTGGTTGAACTGTCAAAGTCAAGGCCTTCAAGGTCTATGACTGGAATGCTAAACTGGCTGGCTTCTGAATCACAGATGGTACTGTTGATGCAGTACTCATCGCCCGATTCTGGTGGTTGATGAAAAATCCGAGGAACTTGGGTTATTCTGGCATCAACGAGGCTTTAACACCTTCCTTTGTTTAGTCAAAAGCCCACCTCACTTTTTCGATCGTAATTGGATGGAACTTCATTTGGAGTGCTGGTAGCTACCATCTTGGAATCAGAGAATTTAAATCAGAACTACTGTATATATTTGCAAGGGAGTTTACCTTACAAGTAGTGAAGTTGGAAGAAAGCAACATATTTGTAGAGACAAAAGAGTACGTATAGGCTGCACGTTTTCAATATGATCACAATAAGTTATGACAGTTGCATTCTGGACGGAATGCTAAAGCCTCTCTGTTATGATATGAATGATTTCCTTCCTATTTGGGAGCATGATGATCGTTGACTATCAGTGATTTATTCTTTCCCTTTGTAAAAATATTTACTTAGCTGATTTGTGGGAATTACAAGATGTGATTGTATCTCTCCAGTTTGTATAAGAACTCTAGCCTAGCTTTGTATATTTTAATGAATCAATACAGAAGATTAGTCATTCTGCCATTCCATTCTTAAGATGGTACTAGAGTGTCCAAGATCCTAGGACGTTTTTTTTGTTTCCTTGGTTTCTCTTTCTTTTTTTTTTTTTATTTATTTATTTTTCCGATTTTTCTTGTGAGAAAAGTCGTCATTTTTCGCCAAGTTAGTTGAGGCATCGAACGATCCCTCAAGCTCTTTCTATAATCATTACCCTGATAATCCAGGGATGCAGCTTGTTTCCACTCTACTTACTGGAAACAATTATAGCACATGGTCTCATTCAATGTGTATTGCCCTTAGCGCAAAGAACAAGTTTGGTTTTGGTGATGGGTTTGTGAATAAGCTGTCAGACAAGAAAGCAATTGAAGTTGCTCTTTGGCAGCGCTGTAATGACATGGTTCTTATGTGGATTTTGAATTCTATGAGTTCTGGGTTATCAAACAGTGTAGTTTATGCAGAAACTGCACATGTTGTTTGGGAGGACCTCAAGACTCGTTTTTTGCAAGACAACGTCCCTTAAACTTTTGAGATTCGACATGACATTGCACGCCTCGCTCAAAATCAAATGTTTGTGTCTGACTTTTATTCCCAATTGAAGGGTTTATGGGATGAATTATCTTCTTACGGCAGCCATAAAAACTGCTCATGTGGCGCCATGGAAGATCATAACAAGAAAGAGGAGCAGAATAAGGTTATGCAATTTCTAATGGGGCATGATGATTCATATGCAGCAGTGAGAGGTCAGATTCTTCTTGTAAAGCCATTGCCTTCAGTGCTCAAAGTTTTTTCAATGGTTAGCCAAGAGGAGAAGCAACGTGGAATTGCAGCCATCACACAACCAAGTGTGGAAAGAGCAGCCATGGCAGTTCAATGTGGTTAAGGTAATCAGCACAACCGTGGTAGCCAAGGGATTCGCAAGCCATTACATTGCGATTATTGTGATGTGGACCACCATACCAAGGAGACTTGCTACCGGCTCCTTGGATATCTCGAGGACCATCGTCTCCATTAAAAGAACAAGGGAAAGGGTCGCGATAAGGAAGGAAAACCAGCGACCAACCATGTTCAAACAACCACTTCTTCAGCTTCTTCCTCTACATCAACAACACTGATGACCTTTACTCCTGAACAGCTTCAACAACTTTTTGCTATGATGGCTGGAAGTTTGCCATATGAAGCACAAACCAATGCAATCACAGGTTTGACTTCCCATCATTCACAAGAGTGGATAATTGATAGTGGCACCACCGATCATGTTACGGCGCTTCCCTTATCAAATTCTAATTTGAACAAATCTTTGCCACCAGTAAAACTTATGACTGGTGAAAGGGTTTCAATTAGTAGTATTGGCAATTTTACTTTTGATCCCAAACTTTCATTGACTAATGTATTATGAATTGCCACTTTTTTGGTTAATTTGATATCCGTTAGTCATTTCACAAAATCCTTTCGTTGCTCCATAACATTTTTTCTGGATTTTTGTGTCTTACAAGACTTGGATACGTGAAAGATGATTGGATGGGGTAGACAACGTGGAGGTCTTTACTATATCACCAAACTAAACTGTAGCTGCACCCACTTCACCTTCACCCAGTTGCGTTAATTCCATTTCTTGACATCATTGTCTTGGTCATCCATCTCCACAACAACTCCACCTTTTAGCTAAGCAATTGTTAGATGTTTATTGTCATTCAAATAAACCTTGTGATGTTTCCCATTAGCAAAGCAAACTAAATTTACTCTTCAATTAAGTCATATTTCCAGTAAACACATTTTTGAGCTTGTTCATTGTGACATTTGGGGACCACACAAAATTTCTACATATAATGGGGCTCGATATTTCGTAACAATTGTTGATGATTTTTCTCGAACAACTTGGCTCTTTTTGATGAGACATAAATCTAAAATACAACAGTTACTTAAAACTTTCTTTTCTTATGTAGAAACTCAATTTCATCACAAAATTAAGAAAATTCGAACTGATCATGGTAGTGAATTTTTGTCCCTACATTCTTTCTTTTCCGAGAGTGGTGTGATTTTTGAATGTTCTTGCACATATACTTCACAACAAAATGGAGTGGTTGAGCAAAAACACCGTCATATTTTGCAAGTAACCAAGGCACCACGTTTTCAAAGTCACTTACCTTTGTATTTTTAGGGAGATTGTGTCCTTACTGTAATCTACCTCATAAATCGTTCACCCACACCACTTTTGTCCAATAAATCACCTTTTGAGGTTCTTTATGGTCGTCCTCCATCGTATGCACACTTGCATACTTTTTGGTGTTTAGTGTATGTCACCAACGTTCACCCTCTTCATAAAGTTGATGCGCAAGCCAGAAAATGTGTCTTTGTAGGATATCCCTTTGGTCAAAAAGCATATAACTTGTATGACCTTTATACTCATAAAGTGTTCACCAGCCGAGATGTCGTTTTTTGTGAGTCTAATTTTCCTTTTATCACCACTCCTTCATTAACCCAACTTCAAGAACCTGTCTTGCCTCTTCCTACTCATGATGACATTGATACTTCACCCACTCACGTTGAGTCCATTTCACCATTCACTCAAGTCGACATTCAGACTCCATCTAACTCCATTTCTACACCTTTCCCAGACCAAACGGTCACCCATAGCCCTCCTCAATCACTTAGTCCACCTATTGCACACCTCATACGCCATTTTGATAGGCCTAAACGTAGACCTGCTTACCTTGATGACTATGTTTGCTTTCCTTGTCTTCCCCACTCAATGCATCGACTCCAGGTTCCTCTAAAAAAGGTACTCACCATCTCTTATGCAAGTATATGTCTTATAAAAATCTTTCTCCATCTTACAAAGTTTTATTGCCAATATTACTCTCCCTGTTGAACCTAACACATATGCAGAGGTTGCTAAAGATCTTCGGTGGCGAGAAGCCATAGCCTTAGAGATTCAAGCTCTAGAAGCTAATGCCACTTGGTCTTTGACTGCACTTCCACCTGGCAAGACCCCTATTAGTTGTTGTTGGGTATACAAAACCAAGCACAAGTCTGATGGCACTATTAAGCGTTACAAAGCTCATTTAGTGGCCAAGGATTACACTCAACTTGAGGGTGTTGATTACCAAGAGACCTTTTCCTTTACTGCAAAGTTGGTTACTTTTCGTTGTCTCCTTGCTCTTGCGGCTGGTCCCTACATCAAATGGATGTCCACAACGCCTTCCTACATGGTGATCTCCATGAGGATACATACATACATATATATATATATATATATATATGTATGGTTCCACCTCCTGGCCTTCAGAGACAGAATGAGCATTTGGTATGTCGTCTTCACACGTCTTTGTATGAATTAAAGCAGGCTTCTCGGCAATGGTTTTTTTAGTTTTCTTGGGCTATTCGTGCAGCTAGGTATACGCAGTCCAAAGCTGATTATTCCCCTTTTACAAGAAAATTTGGTAAATCGTTCACATCTTTCCTTATTTATGTTGATGATATCTTGATCACAAGTAATGACATGACGGCTATTAGTGCTCCTAAATCCTTTTGGAATAAATGCTTCCACATCAAAGATTTAGGAGCCATTAAATAATTTTAGGAATAAAGATTGCTCGTTCAAAAAAGGGGATCTTTGTTTCTCAAAGAAAATATTTATTAGACATTTTGAAAGATGTGGCTCTTTTGGGAGCACGATCCGCTAGCTTTCCCCTGGAACAAAATTTGAAGCTACTTCCTGATAAAGGAGATTTGCTTCATGATTCGTCCATCTATCAAAGATTGATAGGACATTTGATATATTTAACTATTACTAGACCCGATATAACTTTTTGCAGTGAATACGTTGAGTCATTTCATGGAACATCCTCGCAATACTCACTATGATGCAACTTTACGTGTTTTGAGATATTTGAAGAACATTCCAGGCCAAGGTATTTTGTTTTCCTCACAAAGTTTGTTAGGATTGAAGGCCTTTTGTGATGCTGATTGGGCGGGGTGTCCCGTGACTCGACGTTCTACTACCATGTATTGTGTTTTCCTCGGGGATTCTTTAATTTCATGGAAAAGCAAAAAACAAAAGATCGTTTCATTATCTTCTACAGAAGTTGCGTATCGTTCAATAGCTACAGCCTGTTGTGAGCTCACCTGCTTACAAAGTCTTTTATGTAATGGGCCCTACTATTTTACACTATGATAACTAAGCGGCTCTTCACATTGTTGCTAATCCTGTTTTTTCATGAGCGGACATGCCATATAGAGATTGATTGTCATTTTGTTCCAGATAAAATTCATGAAGGAAAGGTAATCACCAAATTTGTTCAATCTTCAAGGAAAGTTGCCGACATATTCATGAAGCCCTTAGGAAAAGAACAGCTCCATTTTATGCTGAGCAAGTTAGCGGTTTTTGACATTCACTCGCCAACTTGAGGGGGAGTGTAATGATATGAATGATTTCCTTCCTATTTAGTAGCATGATGATCGTTGACTATCAGTGATTTATTCTTTTCCTTTGTAAAAATATTTACTTAGCTGATTTGTACGAATTACATGATGTGATTGTATCTCTACAGTTTGTATAAGAACTCTAGCCTAGCTTTGTATATTTTAATGAATCAATACAGAAGATTATTCATTCTGCTATTCCATTCTTAAGACTCTCCTTGTCCAAAACCTCTGAAGCTCTGGGTTTGGAGTCGGAGATCTCCTTTTGCAGAGTTCACTAATATGTACACGGTGTAGTCCAAGGTCTGTTCCGGTTTGGATTAGGGATTTTTTGTATTTGCCGCGTTTAACGGGTGATGTCTCACCTAGCAAGTGATGTGGCTTTGCTTTTCAGGGATGGTTTTTGTTGTCTCGCTGGCCCACGATGACATTGCATGTACCTAGGTATAGTATGTTGTGCGTGCCATCTTTGTGGCGGATTTGTACTGGGGTATTTGTGCTAGTACGAAGGTGCTTGCGCTTGTGGTAGCTGTTAGGAGTTTACTTTATATATGCATTTTTTTGTCTTTGACTTTTTTGTAGTATTGCAAATGTATAATTGCAAAGGGAAGGGTAATGTAGGAGAAGTGGGGAATTTTCATTCAATTCCGAGATTCACAAAACGAAAATGACAAATTATTTCCACACCTCAATTCCAGTTTTGTTCCGGACACTAAAATGGAATTCTTAAAAGCTTTCCATTCCAAAATACTTAGTTTTGGAAATGAGTCAAATTCACATTCCATTCAACCATATTAGAAAAGAAAGCAATTCTAAATGCCTTTGCCAGAGTTTAGACTAGAAATCATTTCCACATTGATCACCATAAGAAAACTTGTTGAGAATAAATCGCACATTGATGAGATAATGGATTTTGTATGGGCTTATAAAAAGTTGGACTATTCCCCATATTGTAAATTGGTTTTGTGGTGGAACCTCAACTTTCTTTATGGTATCAGAACCAGGTCGTCCCTCATGTGAAGCCCAACAGCTACATGCGCTCCACGTCACTTGCTTTATGTCAACAGCTACATGCGCTCCACGTCACTTGCTTTATGTTGTCCACATATTAGACTTGAAAATTTGTCACACATGAGAGAACGTGTTGAGAATGAATCTCACATTGTTGAGAGGAGGAATCATCAACTTAATTACACTTCTCTAACAAATCACCGTAAATGATTACAATCAGGTATTTTATAATTTAGTACAGATCATGGCATTGTTCAAAGCTTGAAACGAGTCGAGGCATATGTGTCATCAAGATCATGGCATTAGTATCATTTGCGATAGAGGAGACATGGATAATACGGTATTTGATTAGTTGTAAATTTGTTAAAAATGCAAATTGATTTGTATATAAAAATGTTTATAATTATACATTTAAAATTTATTTAATGTTATTTTAACATTTTTAAAATTTATTTAATGTTTAGGTTTTTTTCAAATTTGCTAGTTGAGCTTTTTAATCATTATTTTATTTAATACTAGTCTTTCCGCACGCGCTGGCCTTTTCTAATCACGGGCACTACGCGCCCCTTAAGACGTGTTGTGGTAGTTGTTTTCTTTCTCATAGGGTGTCCTAAAAATAAAATACAACATACAATTACAAATAAAAGGTATTGGAATTAAATTAAGTTGGGTGTAAAATGTGTGATAAAATAAAGGCTGTTTATCCGTGCGGAAGCACATTCAAAGAGATTAGGAAAAAATAAAGGTAAAAAATACTTCAAGGAATCAAATAATAATGTAAGAGAATAAATTAAACAATTAATCTATGACATTAAGTTGAAGAGTAAGAATTCATATATATATATATATATATATATATATATATATATTCCTTACAGTACCACAAAATACACTGACTTTTATCACATTTGTTTGAACAATTTATCTGATTAAAAATTGCTAAAGATGGAGTTGATAGGGTTT